TCCCCATCTGCACATGAAGAAAAGCCGGCCCGTGCTCAGCGGGTTGTGAAGTTTCTCCTCTGTAAAATGGGGCCAAATTCATGGGTACAAACAACGGGCGATATCATCCTCATCTAGCATGGAAGAAAACAGGCTCAGAGAGGCTAAGTGACTGACCCAAGTCACACAGCCTTCGAGGACCAGCCTGACCCCCAGCAGGTGGTTATGACTACCAGCCATCCTGTTCTCAGCAGTCATTGAATTGACTCGCAGATGGCCCCACCCCGACAGACCTGCATCCCCTGGGGCCCAGTCAGCATGGTGACCAGCCTTCCGTCCTCCTCACCCAAGTCCAGAAGCCCCAGCCTCCTCTTCCCCTGTGCCCAGAGGCCTCGACACCCAGCCTGGCTCAGACCACACCAGTTGTACCCTCTGCAGGATCCTCCTGTGGAATCTTTGACCTTCTTTGCCCACTCCTCGAGCACAGTGCCCGAAGCCCAGCCGGGGGCAGGAGGGGTCATACCTGTGGCTGGCAAGACGTGCTAAGAAGCATTTCAAAGGCTTCAAGTGGCCTTGGAGTCAAATGCAGGGTGACCGGGGTCTCTGTTCTGGGACCCAGGGTGCATTTGGAGGTCCAAACTCAGGTCTGTACCTCCTGAGAGGCCAGGCCCTTGCCAAGACCTGGCAGGTCCCAGCTTCCTCCTCAACGGCCCTGAGGCTCGGACACCCACACCTGCCTGGATGGCAGCGTTTGGAATCCGCCACGCCTCCTGGCCCACAGCTGAGGCCCGCCCCCTGGACTCCCCAGGTAGCTGATGTCCTCAGCTGGGTGTGGATTTGCCAGTTCCCTCCAGCCCCACATCCCACCCCCGACACCTTTGAGCATCAGGACCACTTGGCAGAGCTGAATAGCTGCTTAGAAGCCGCAGAGAAGGGAGTGGAAGCTTCTCTGGACAGAGCAAAGGAGAGGACAACACACTGCAGGGAAAGCATTTTGGGGTTGAGGAGGAACCTACATCACGAGTGAGCAACCACCTCCCCACTTCTTGCATCTCAAGTCTTCTGGCATGGTCCACCAGCTCAGGACAGCGGGCTTCTCTCCAGCCCTCCCAGCCCCAGCTGGCCCCTGGCCCACTGAGAGAGGAAGGGAGGACTGGGGAGGAGAAAAGAGAACCAGGGTGTGGAAGTGATGGGAGCTGGAAAGGGAAGCGGAGGAGGTGAAGAATGAGGAGAGTCCAAGACGGGAAGCGGTGGGAGGGGGCGGGGAGGGGGCAGAGAGGGGAGGAGGGAGTGACTGACGGTGTCTAAACAGCAGGTGGCAACAGGGACCAGGGAGGCGGGGACATCTGTGGAGTTAAGGGTGGCTGACCTCTGAGGCCCTCCCTGATGCCAATATTTTAGTTTCAAGAACGCACACCCCACCATTCCACGTCCAGATTCGACAACTGGCCGGCTCCCGTGGCCCCAGGGAACTGAGGGAGGACGCTGGCCTCACGTGCTCCAAGAGCCCTCCAGTTTAAGCTTTAACATCACTTCCAGGAGAGGAACGTGACGCAGCGGCAGGGTGGAGCCAGGAGGAGAGAAGGTCCTCACCGGCCTTGAACCTACTCCCGGCCCCGCTCCCGAGGCTGCCAGGCACCGGGAATGAGTGTCGGCCTCAGGCCTGTGATTATCCCACGAGGAGCGCCATTAGGCTTCATTGTACTTCTGCGCAAGTTCAAAGCTTTAATTTACTCAATGCAAATGCTAAGAATGTATGTGCCACAGGTTTTATAACTCCGCTTTGGCATTTTTGTTTGTTGAAGAACAGAGAACCCCCAGAAAAGGAAGCAGCCCGGGGCCTCTCGGGCTCGTCCGAGAGCCCCACTAAGTCCCTCCTCCCTGTAGCCCCGACCTCTACCAGTCTCTGAGCCAGAGGCTGTTTTGCTTTATGCTTTTGCAGGGCTGGGGAGGCCTGGGAACATCCCAGGAGAACGTCCCTGTCCCCGCCCAGCCAGCCTCCTCCATCCCAAAGAGCAAGCGCGTGTTAGGGCCTCCAGCCCGGGCTCTGGTTCTGGGCTCTGGGCAGACAAAGAGGGCCAGGCTGGACCACTGATGGAGTCCCCACACTGCCCACCCCCTCTTTTATCGCACGAGTCCTCTGGGGGCCACCACTTAGCAAGGACAGGGACAGCCAGGGCAGTCTGGCCAGACCCGGGGGGTTGGGGTGGTGAGCTGGCCCGCTGGGGTGAGGGGATCAGGGTGGTGAGCTAGCCCACTGAGGTGAGGGGGTTGGGGTGGTGAGCTAGCCCACTGGGGCGAGGGGTAGGATCTGCAGCACTTGCTGAATAAGGGGATTTCTGAGTGTTCCTTGGGCTGGGACACCCTGGGGACCCAATTACCCCAAACACAAATATTTCTCCAAATAACCGGTCCACGCAACACCTGTGGGAGCTAATCACTTCTCGTGATGTCACCCCGCACGCCCATCTCGGCTGCCACTCCTGGAGGTTTCAGACTGGGGGCAGCACAGGGGACTGGCACATGCCCTCTGCTGGGGGGCTCCCACCCTTCTACCAGCAAGGCCACATAGAAACCCCTTGCTCAGCCTCCGCTAGAGGCAGGCACCGGTGATGGGGGTGGAGAAGCCCCAAGTTCATCATCAAGGGCAGCCCCTTCCCCCTAGCCAGCCCAGGCCCTGCCGTGAGCTTCATGATCCTCCTGAAAGCTTCCCAGGATGACAACTCCACGTCCCCCTTTCCCTGCCTATCGCAGCCCTCACTGGCGAGAAGCTCTTCCTTAGGCCAGTTTAAGCCAACTGGCTGCAGAATAAACTTCTGTTTCCTAGTTTAGAGACTCGCAGTGGCTATGACCCTTGTCACCACCAATGCCCAGGGCGAAGGTTCCTGAAGGGCTCTTGGGTGGAGGTCTCTCCAAGAGCTCACTCAGGATTCGATGCAGCGCCCCCCACAGAGTCGGCCAGAGCACAGCAGCTACGGACACCCCAGACAGCTTCCCCGTGCCCCACAGCTGGGCTGGGACGCATTTGAGGAGGCGAAGGTGCCTGGTGATCCCAAAGGAGATCTCAGACAGATAGCCCTTTGTTCCCACCACACACGCCCTGATCTGTGCTCGGCTCCTCCTCTGCTCTAAGGCAAGATGGGAAGAACGGATACGGGAGAAAAGGGAACCCACAGAGCCTTCAGAGCTGTGAGCACCTCCCGCTTCCAAGGCCCCCACGGTGCAAGGGGCCCTGCACACGCGTGGTCTCACTTATCCTCCCCCAACCCATGAAGGTCAGTGCTATTGCTTTCCCATTGTCGGATGAGGAAACCGAGGTTCAGAGAGGTGCAGCAGCTAGCCCAGGGTCACACAGCCATGAAGGGAGCTAGGATGAGAACCCAAGTCTGCCCAACTCTAGGGTCTGGGCACTTTACCTCCACGCTGAACTGAAGAGAGGACTCAGCCCATCTTGGGGCTCAGAGGAGGAAATGAGGCCCAGAGAGCGCTGGTGACTTGGCCCATGGCAGACAGCAAGTCAGCGGCAGATCTAGGACCACAGCCCAGGCCTTCCGGCTCCCGGACAAGTGCTTCCGGCCCGAGGTTCTGAAATTACCTTTCAGAAACAGCCAGTGCCTGGGACGAGAGCAGAGGTCTGGAATCGGGAAGGCGGGGGCCCACTAGGAACCCCTTCTTGCTCTTGGTGTTAAAGCAGGGTTGCCAGATAAAGTACAGGATGCCCAGCTAAATTTGAATTTCAGCTAAACAGAAGATTTTTTTTTTTTAATACAAGTATGTTCCATGCAATATACTAAAGAAGTTATTTGCTGTTTATCTGAAATGCAAGCTTTACTGGGCATCTTGGATTTTCATTTGCTAATTCTGGCAACCCTATGTTAAAAGGGCAGGAGAAGATGGGATCTCTGCTGGCCGCCAGCCCCACACCAGGGCCCCCATCATGACTTAGAGCCAAGGTCTGGCCTCCAGGGCCCCTGGCTCTCCCTCCCCAGCCCTGTCACTGTGGCCCCAGACCACTGCCCAAGACAGGGGCTGAGTGGGCTTCTGGGACAGAAGCTCACCTGAGGCCAGGTGGGAACCTGGGGCCAGCATAACTAGACTGGGAGAACACAGGGACTGAGACCCAAGAGGGCAGTGGGAGCTCAGATCCCACCTCGTAAGAGACCCCCCACTGCCCCCACCTCCTCTGGGAGGGGGACTCCTGCCCCGAGTGCCCCCATCTGCAGGGGCTTTAGCCCCATCTAATGCAGCAGGAATGGAGTCCATAGAGAGTCTGTCAGAGCTGGAAAATTCCCCAGAATTCCCTAAGTGCAACTCCCTCAGTGGCCAGGTAGGGAAACTGAGGCTGGGTCAAGTCCCTGGGCCCCATCTGGGCAGAGCCAGGACAGGGAGGACTTGGGCCAAGAGGAGAAACTGATGCTTCCGCTGCCTGTCAGACGTCATCATTGCCACCATCCCTGCCATCGTCATCATCATCCTGGCCAATACAAGCCCCAGGTCTTGTTCCAAGTTCTTCTCTTTTATTAACTCATTGAATCAGCCCCTGACCACTCCCTCCTGACCCCAGTCACCCTGACCGGCCTCCAAGGATCAAGCTGCCACACACCCCACCCCGCCCCCTCAGAGATGGGTCACTGGCAAGAAATTGAGGGAGAAATTGGGGGAGGCCCAGTCCTGGTCCCTGTCTTGAGCACCGATTCATTCTGATGCTCCACACAAGTTCTACTCAGATGCCAGAACACAGAGCCAGACCCCAGAGCCCATCCCCAGGGCTGTGAGCTGGAGCCCCTATCCAGGGGCTTGAGGCCAAGGTGCCCAGGAGCCAGAGCCCCAAGATGGACCTGATACCCTAGCCCCTCCCTCCCAGGCTCTACAGCCAACTTCACCTGCTCTGCTGTCAAAACAGCCTCCTGCCAGCATCCTCCAATGAGCCCCGTCTGTCCGCCGATGCCCACTCCATTGCCTCGGGGTCCTCTGTGCCAGCCCAGCCTTCTGCAGCCAGGTGGGTGCCCCTCGGTGCTCACCTGTGAACGTCCACGTACGTCTCAACTCCCACCACACACACGGCGTGGGTGGGCTTCTTCAAGGACAGCCGCACAGCTCTCCGCAAGGCCATCCTGCGCCCCTGGCTCCCAACCTCCACGCCCTGTCTCCCCAGCTCCTCTCCTGGGCACCTCGTCGCCAGGAAGGAGCACCAGTTCTGATGGGTTGATGGTTTCCTCCTCCCTTTTAATTTCACCCTGTGACCTGATTTGCCTGCCGGAGCCAGATCCCCACCTCCTGGCTCCACACCCAGCCCTCTTCATTCAGGCCTGTCAATCCAGGAGGCCAGGGGAGGAGGCACCTGAGACCTCTCTGAGGGATGGGAAATGAGGGCTTCAGCTGGGGGCCTCTGATGGCGCAGGGTTCAGCCGCCTACAGAAGACTGCCAAGCTCCCCTTCAGCTCCCATCCCCCGTTCCCTAGCTTTGCCTCTGTCCTCAGACTCTTGGCGCCTGAGCCTACACTGCAGTGATGGCAGCGTTTTCTAAGGGTTGACTATGTGCCAGGTGCCGGCTAAGCGGTTTGCAGATCTTATCTCTTATACTAAGAGATCAGGTAGCGTATATAGCAGAGTGCAGTCAGACTGCCTGGGTCCACGTGCCGGCTCTGCCTCTCGCAACCTACCATCCTGGGCAGTTACGACCCCTCTGCGGCTCCATTTCCCCACATGTTAAGATAGCAGTTTAACAAGAGTCCCTGTCCCATTGGATTGATGCGGGATCACATGAGCTCTGTGTGAGAGACTTTGCACGGCGCTGGCACCTGGTATTCACTAAAGGAAATGCTAGCAACTATTCCTAGTATCCTTATCTTATGGGGAAGAGAATCATGGCTGCAGGTCACCCTGCTAGTAAGTGGCAGAGCCATAGCTTGCACCAGGTCCACCTGACTCACCGCCTCCCAAAAGGTGAGGTTTTATGCCCCGGTACCCCAACTCCAGAGATGGCAGAAGGCCCACCAGGTGAGCATCCTGGGCCAGCCAGTGGGGAGGGTGCTTGAGGAGGAGCTCAGAGCAACGGGCTCGGGAGAGCCGATTGGTTTCTGGAAATGCCCTCCTTTCAGCTCTGGCAAACGTTGGCTCCCGCCTGCTCTCCAGCTGTTTGTGGAATTTCCTTCATTCATTTGACAAACGTTCCTTGAGCACCTACTCTGTGTTAGGCACCCCTTTAGGTGATGGGAACACAGCTATGAACAAATCCTGTCCCTGCTCTGATGGCATTTCTATTCTGCGGAGACAGACGATAAGGAAGTGACACGAGTAAAGTGTGGGTAACATCAGACGGTGCGGGACGCTCTTCCCCATCATCCGGGCAAGAGACAGTGGTGGCTGGGTCCGGGAGTAACGATGAAGGTGGTGAGATTCTGAACGTACCTGGAAGGAGCTGAGAAGGTTTGCCAGTGGATTGGATGTGGGTGTGAGAGAAAGAGAGGAGTCAAGGATGACTGGAGTGTTTGGGGCTCCAGCAACCAAAAGGATAGAGCTGTCACCAGAGAGATGGAGAAGGCTGAGGGTGGGCAGGTTGGGCAGGGGGATCGGCCATTCCATGTGGACCTGTTGGGTCTATCAGACTTAATATCTATTAGACCGCTGGGTGAGACGATGAATGACAGGTGACACGCTCCCTCCGTTCTGGGCATCAGAGGAGAGGATTTCCCTCAGGATTCACAGGACACCCCTCCTCAGCCGCAGGGTCCTCTCATCCTAGGCAGCCATGGCACAGAACAGAATAAAGGACGCACAACCAGAACTCCAACCTCCACAGGTCTGGGGTGGGAGGACGGCACACAGAGAGATGGAGAGAGGGGAAACACCCCCAACCCTCGGGGAACCGCCAGCCTGATGGGGCAAGAGCAGGACACAGCCCCTGCCTCCAGGAGCCCCCAGACTGATTAGGGAAACAGGAAACATAAAAATGGCATAAAAATTTATTTGTTTACTTTTGATTTTGAAGATCTTCCTGGAATGGTCTTTCTTATTGCCAACATATCTGATTGCAAATGTTCTCGATCTGCAAAGCTCATTAAAGCCAAGGACACCGAGGCAAAGTCTAGGTTTACCCCACGGATATAGAACTCAGCAAAACAACACATTAGGGGTGCCTGACGGTCGACCCCTACACCCACCCCCATTAACCAGACCCTGAGCTGTTTTGCTCACACATATTGTAGTGTAGAGTGTAAAAGCAGGTTCCTGCCAAGTATATGAGTATATTCCCATTAGAGAAGGATGGATGGATGGATGGATGGATGGATGGATGGATGGATGGATGGATGGATGGAAGGATGGATGGATGGATGGATGGATGGATGGA